AGCCTGCTTCTCCCTCTCCCCCTGCCACTCGCCCTGCTTGTGTTCTCTCTCTCTCTCTGTCAAATAAATAAATAAAGTCTTAAAAAAAAAAAAAAGTTAAACATAAGCTTACATTTTAAAATTTAAACATAAGCTTACTTTTTAAAATTTTATTTATTTATTTATTTAAGATTTTATTTATTTATTTGACAGAGAGAGACACAGCAAGAGAGGGAACACAAGCAGGGGGAGAGAGAGAGAAGCAGGTTTCCCACTGAGCAGGGAGCCTGATGTGGGGCTCGATCCCAGGACCCTGGGATCATGACCTGAGCCGAGGGCAGATGCCCAAAGACGGAGCCACCCAGGAGCCCCAAACATAGCTTACCTTAAGACTCAGGAATTCCACTCCTAGCAATTTGCCCAAGAGAAATGAAAACATGTCCACCCAGGCTTGTTCACAAGTGTTCATTCATAGCAGCTTTACTTGTAATAGTTAAGATCTGGAGACAATCCAGGTGTCTATCAATTAATGAATAGATACGCAAGATGTGGTATAGCCACACAACAGGATATTACTCAGAAAGAAACAAGAGATAAGCTACAGGCACACCTTAATTTACTGTGCTTCCCAGATACCGTGTTTTTTTTTTTGTTTGTTTGTTTTTTTTACAAACGGCAGATCTGTGGCACCCTGCATTAAGCAGGTGTATCTCTGGGGCACCTGGGTGGCTCAGTGGGTTAAAGCCTCTGCCTTCGGCTCAGGTCATGATCTCAGAGTCCTGGGATGGAGCCCCACATCAGGCTCTCTGCTCATCAGGGAGCCTGCTTCCTCCTCTCTCTCTGCCTGCCTCTCTGTCTACTTGTAATCTCTGTCTGTCAAATAAATAAAAAAATCTTTAAAAAAAATTAAAAAAAAAAGCAGGTGTATCTCTGCCATTTTTCTTTTTTTTTTTTTTTTTTAGAAGATTTTATTTATTTATTTGACAGGCAGAGATCAGAGGGATCTCCTTGGGCTCCCCTGTTCCCTGAGACACAACAGTACTGAAATTAGGCCACTGAATAACCCTGCAATGGCCACGAAGTGTTCAGGTGAAAGGAAGAGTCGCACATGTCTCACTCCATTTTTTATTTTCTTTTTTAAAATTTATTTATTTGAGAGAGAGAGAAAAAGTGAGTGAGCATGAGTGGGGGTCGGCGGGGCGCGCAGAAGGAGATGGAGAGAGAATCCTAAGCAGACTCCACAATGAGTGCGAAGCCCAGTGCGGGGCTGGATCTCATAACCATGAGACCACGACTTGAGCCAAAACCACAAGTCAGGCACTTAACCAGCCGTGCCACCCAGGTGTCCCACACGTCTCTCCTTTTAAATCAAAAGCTAGAAATGATGAAGCTCGGTAAGGAAGGCATATTCAAAGCCAAAACGGGCTAAAAGCTAGGTCTCCTGGGTCAAACAGTTAACCAAGTCGTGAACACAAAGGAAAAGTTTTTGAAGGAAATTACAAGGGCTACTCCAGTGAATGCACAAATGATAAGAAAGACAAACAGATTTGTCGCTGATACAGAGAAAGTTTTAGTGGTCTGGACAGAAGATCAAATCAGCCACAGCACTCCTGTAAACCAAAGCCTAATCCAGAGCAAGGCCCTAACTCTCTTTAAATCTGTGAAGGCTGAGAGGTGAGGACACTGCCGAAGAAAAATCTGAAGCTAGCAGAGACTAGTTCATGAGGTTTTTGTTGGTTTTTTTTTTAAAGATTTTATTTATTTATTTGACAGAGATCACAACTAGGCAGAGAGGCAGGCAGAGAGAAAGGGTGGGGAAGCAGCTCCCTGCCGAGCAGAGAGCCCGATGCAGGGCTCGATCCCAGGACCCTGGGATCACAACCTGAGCCAAAGGCAGAGGATTTAACCCACTGAGCCACCCAGGCGCCCCTGATTCATGAGGTTTAAGGAAGGAAGGTGTTTCTGTAATACAAAATGCAAAGAAGCAACACTGCTGATACAGAGGCTACAGCCAGTTATGCAGAAGGATCTACTTAAGATGATGAATGGAGGTGGTTACACTAAGCAACAGATTTTCAGTATAGATGAAACGGCCTTCCATTGGAAGAAGATGCCATCTAGGACAGGAAAAGTCAATGCCTGGCTTCAAGGCTTCAATGGACAGGCTGACTGTCTTGTTAGGAGCTAAGAGAGCTGGTGACCCGCAGTTGAAGCCCGTGCTCACTGACCGTTCTGAAAATCCTAGGGCCCTTAAGAATTATGATAATCTACTCTGCCTGTGCTCTCTGTCAGTGGAACAAAGCCTGGATGACAGCACATCCTTTTACAACATGGTTTACCGAGTATTTTGAACCCATTGTTGAGATCTGCTGCTCAGAAAAAAAGATCCCTTTCCAAAGCTTGCTGCTCACGGACAGTGCACCTGGTCACTCAAGAGTTCTGAAGGGGACAGACCATGAAATTAGTGTTGTTTTCACGCCTGCTCACACGCTACCCATTCTGTAGCCATGGATCAAGGAGCACATTTAACTTTCAAGTCACATTATTTAAGAAACACATTTCACAGGACTAGAGCTACCATGAAGAGTGATGCCTTCTGGAAGTCCCTTTGGGAAGGGTTCACCGTTCTACATGCTGTTAAGGACATTTGTATTTATGGGAAGAGGTCAGAATATCAACATTAGCAGGAGTTTGGAAGAAGTTGATTGCAACCCTCCTGGATGACTTTGAGGGGTTCAAGACTTCAGGGGAGGAAGTAACTGCAGATGTGGTAGAAACAGCAAGAGAACTGGAATTAGAAGTGGAGCCTGCAGAGGGACTGAGTTGCTGCAGTCTCATGACGAAGCATGAAGAGCTGCTTCTTACGGAAGTGCAAAGAAAGTGGTTTCTTGAGATGGCATCTACTCTTAGTAAAGATGCTGTGAAGAGGGCGCCTGGGTGGCTCAGTGGGTTAAGCCGCTGCCTTCGGCTCAGGTCATGATCTCGGGGTCCTGGGATCGAGTCCCGCATCGGGCTCTCTGCTCCGCAGGGAGCCTGCTTCCCTCTCTCTCTCTCTCTCTCTCTCTGCCTGCCTCTCCGTCTACTTGTGATCTCTCTCTGTCAAATAAATAAAATAAAAATCTTTAAAAAAAAAAAAAAAGATGCTGTGAAGACTCTTGAAACGACAACAAAACATTTAGAATATTACATAAACCTAATGGATAAAACTTTAGAAAGAAATTTCACTGTGGGTAAAATAGTATCAATACCATCATGTGTATGGAGAAACTGTTCATGAGACGAGAACCAATCAATACGGAAAACTCTATCACTGTCTTATTTTTAAGAACTTGCCACAGCCACCCCAACTTCAGCAACCCCCACCCCGATCAGTCAGTGGCCATCCACCTCGAGGCAAGACCCTCCAGCAGCAAAATGATTATGACTCACTGGAAGATCAGATGATGGTTACCAGTTTTTAGCAATAAAGTATTTTACTTTTTTTTTTTTCCAACAGCAATAAAGTGGTTTTTGTTTTTTAAGATTGTTTATTTGCGAGAGAGAGAGAGAGAGAGCACGAGGAGGGAGAGAGAGAGAGGGATAAGCTGAGCAGGGAGCCCAACGTGGGGCTCGATCCTAGGACCCTGAGATCATGACCTGAGCCTGAGGCAGATGATTAACCAACTGCGCCACCCAGGCTCCCCAATAAAGTGTTTTTAAATTTAGGTATATGCATTTTCTTGACATAATGCTTCTGTACACTTTATGGATTACAGTACAGTATAGCACAGTATAGTCTAAACATAACTTTTATATGCACTGGGAAAAACCAAAATATTCATTTGACTTGTTGTATTGCAATATTTGCTTTATCATGTTGATCTGGAGCCAAACCTGTCATATCTCGGAGGTTTATCTGCACTGATACAGGCTAGAACATGGATGAACTTCAGAAATGTTATACTAGGTGAAAAAAGTCAGTTGCAAAAGACTCCATATTATAAGACTCCATTTATACGGAATGTCCAGAAAAGACACATTTAGAGACAGAAAGCAGATGAGTGGTTGCCTGGGCCCTGGGGAGAAGTGGGGATTGACTGAACACAGATTTATACAAATATTGGGGGTGATGGAAATGTTCTACGACTGAATCATGTTGATGGTTGCACAATTCTATAAATATTCTAAAAATACTGAATTGTATACTTACACTGGGTGGACTTTTGTGCCTTATAACTCATACCTCAATAGAACCATTAAAAGTAAATGAACACAATCTGATGCTGAAAATTTCAGGAAGCATAACTCAGATACAATCTCTATGACTTGAATCAAAGGTTCTCCTTAATCTACCCACATTCCTCTTCCTTATATATTTAAAAATTACAGGTGAAGGACATTACCAGTGTTCAGAGCCTAAATGATCTTAAGCTCCTGAACGAAACTGTGTGGTCCCCGTGACTGTTCAAAAAACAGCAGCAGATTTAGATATCTTAAAAATTTTGACCATATTGGCCTTTTACTGGGCTCATTTCAGAGAAAAAAAAAAAAGCAATAAAAGGAAAGTCCGAGAAGCAAATCAAATCCCAAAATTGTTTGAGTAATAAACCATATTATATATAATCATTATGGCCTAGAAACATTTAATCTGAAGCAGCAAAGGCTGACCTAGTAATTGACTTAATAGCTATCTCCAATGATACGAAGGGTTTCACGGAGAAACTATATGACTAGTTCTTCTCTCTCTCCATTGAGAGCCAAACAAAACAAAGTGATTTAATAGTCAGCAAGGTAAATTTAGATTAAACATAAATAACACTGACAGTAACTGCTATCAAATACTGAAATAAATTTAAGTAGGATATTTGCTCAAGCTGTTTCCTTGGTGATCACTAGAACACACAGACAGAAAGCTCTGGTCTGAACGTATTACTTGCCTGGGAGGCAGAAAGTCGACTTGCTGACCCCAGGCCCCCACGCGGGGAGGAGCAGGTCCGCGCAGAAGGCAGGCAGCCACCCTGACTTTCCCACACTTCACTCACCTCAATATCCCGATTGAGCTGCTTCACAATGGCAGTTATGTTTCTGATGTGCTCCTCCAAGAAAAGCCTGGCCAAGCGGTCGCCGCCCCCTTTGTTCTGCATTTTCTGCAAACTGCTAACAATGTCGTCCTTAATCCGGAAGGCGTGCTCCACAAGGGCCGCGGTTGTCTTCTCGTGACAGAGGATCCTATCTTCCAGTTGTTCCACAAGGCTTACAGATGAGTAGGGTGCCATGGTCAGGGACTGGCTGTGTCGGGGCATGGTTCTAACTCGCCTGTGGAAGGGAGCCACATTGCAAGGTTGTTCACTGGGAAAAAGTCATTTTCAAAAAGCCAGATTCAAGACTGCCCAGAGAAGTAAATGCAAATTCTCTCGCCCTACAAGGTAAATGGGGCTTGAGGCAGGGTTTCTGCCACAAGGAGTTTTCTTGGTGAGCCGGGCATCTTGAAACAATCATACTCAGAGTCTTAACCGTGCGGGTAGCAGGCTTGATGACCTCCAAAAGCAAGAGGCTGCTGGAATTGGGCATACTGACATGTGCCCAATTCCAATCTAAGCTTATGGAGACCAAGCTTATCGGGACGCCTGGGTGGCTCAGTTGGTTAAGCATCTCAACTCTTGATTTCAGCTCAGGTCCCTGAGATCAAGCCCCGAGTTGGGCTCCCCACTCAGTGGGGAGTCTGCTTCTTTCTTTTTCTCCCCACCCCGGTCCCGCCCCTTCCCTCCCCACTCCCTGCTCACACATGCACGTGCTCGCGCGCGCTCTCTCTCTCTCTCTCTCTAAAATAAATAAATCTTTAAAAAAAAAATCTATAAAGATCAAGCATATTCACAAAGTCTCCTGACATGCCCTCCTTCCCCATTCCCCTACAGCAGTTCTTTAACATAATAACAAACTCTAAATGCCTACAAGGGTCAGGCAGGTGACCTAAATGAATGATGCCCATCACATGTAATACAACAGGGAGGGGACTTAGGAGACCTGGAAAGGGCACTCCTCCACTAAAGGCAGCTACAATTTTCCTCCATCCATGAGTGACCATCTGGGAATGCAGGTCTATTTTTTCAGATTATGTCCTATTTCAAAAAAAGCTGGAAATTCAGACTTGTATGTGAAATCACCTGATTTTTAAATGTTAACAAGTCATTTAAAAAGTATTTAAGATAATGCAGGCCAAACAGTGTGCTTCCATGAGCCAATTCTGGTCTATGGACCCTCAATCTGCAACTTCTGATTTAAAATGGTTAGTGGGACATTAGCCCTCAAGGCTCCAGAGCTGCATTTTCCTAGGGACCAGAAGTACAGCTGTACTGTAAGGTTATTATGAAGTCTCCACTTCTCACTATCACTGAGCAGATCCTACAAATTGGATGCTGGAGAGGGACGCAACTGTACTTCTCTTGCCCTTGAACAAAATCATCCCTGGGTAATGTAACAGCCACAAAATTTCATTTATAATAACCATCACACCCACTAGCAGCCCTCATGGGATTGGTGGAAAGGAAAAGTATACCTTAGATGCATATTTTCCATATATTATACCTTTCCTCAGTGACGAGAGAAGGAAATGCAGTGCTCCGTTGGGCCATTTTCTTTTTAATAATTTACATCTGTTGAAAAAAATAATCATTAAATTATTTAACAGTTTATATCTGGAATTGAAATGACATCTAAACCTTATTATTAAGTTACTAAGTGGATTGTAAATTATGCTGACACACCAGTTATATTATTAAATGTCTTATGTCCTATACATGAAATAAACAGTAAATGCTTCCAAATAAGGAGAAAAGAATCAAGTAAAATCAAAATTAATACTGCTAAGCCTTGCTAGATAGATCACTGGGGACTGTTAAGCAGATTTTCTTGAAATTTCCTCACCGCCCCCCCGCCCCGTAACTGCATTTTAAGCTTGAGAAACCACTTTTACAGAAACGAGATAGTTTCTTTCCCTTTTTTTTTTTTTTTTAAGATTTTATTTATTTATTTGAGAGAGAGAGAGAGTGGGAGAGAGCATGAGAGGGGATAAGGTCAGAGGGAGAAGCAGATTCCCCACGGAGCTGGGAGCCCGATGAGGGACTGGATCCCGGGACTCTGGGATCACGACCGGAGCTGAAGGCAGTTAGTTGCTTACCCAACTGAGTCACCCAGGTGCCCACAAGACAGTTTCTTTAAAGGCTTTATTCAATCATGTCAGATAGGAAACTACCTTAGTAAATCTGATCGCAGCAACTTTAGCAAATTCCATAGCAAATTAAGAGAGCACTTACTTCTAAATTAATCGTAAATCAAAAAATACATCATCAATTGGATCTAATTTGGAGGAGCCTATCTATCCATGAAGAGAATGTGATTGATATTCTTTAAAATTTTTTTTAATAAGATATCATCATTCATATTATATCTTGCCTGTAAGGGACATTTGGCCATCCTAACACATTAGAAATTTGAGCAAAACTGGAGTTTTTAAAATATTTTGTTACTTAGGTTTCTCAATACTGCTGTTAATTGCCTTAAAACAATGAATGCCTAGTAACTGTGATCTGATTCAGTAATTAGTTCTCATTTAGATGCTGGATTCAGAGAGCATTTCTGATTGAAACCATTGTTTTGGCATCAACTCTTCCAGTGTCTTATTTTTAGAGTTTCAAAATGTGAACATTTCATTTTCCTAGACAAAGAACTTTGAATTCAAACAAATTACATTTAAGAAAAAAAGCGATTCATGCCAAACAAGTTATGATGCCAAAGGAGATCTTCAGCTCTTAAGATAATCATCTCTGTCATTAAGACTACATGAAATCAGGCCAATGTGGAAATGTTAAGATTGAGAATCACAGAATCTTTACCATTTTAAAGTTGTAATATACCTTAGTTGAGATATTAAGCTATGGAATAGTCCAATCTAAGAAACATTTATCTGGCATCTATGATGCAGCTGAGTAACCTAAATATATATAACAAAATCCGGACCCCTCAGGGACTTCACAGCCTACAGAGAAAGATATCTAAGCCAACCATGAAGCAATGGGATAAATAGCTATGAACAAAAACACACAGGGAGGAAAAAAGGAGAGGCCTTACTTTCCCCTGGGTAGGAAAGAGAGCTCGGAGGAGAGGAACTAATGAAAATGAGTAGGATTTCCCAAAGTACAGAATAGAGAGATTGTTCTACACCTTCTTTCCTTAAGACTCCACCATCACATCTACCTTCTATGCTCTCAGCACACTCTGGCCTGGCCCATTCTTCCAACCGCATGCGGTGCCATTCTAGCCAATGCTAACCCTCCCCATTGCCACTCTACCCACCACTGTCCTTGAATATGTCAGGAACTCTTCTGCCTTCACACCTTTGTCTGTGTGCTCTATGGGAAACACTCTTCTCTCTGCCTCCAGAGAAAACTCCTACTCATCCCTTAAGGCCCCTCTGCCCTTCAGTTCAATAAAATAGCTCCCTTGTTTGTATTTCTTCAGCACTTTACTCGGTATGTTTTTATACTATCTATTACACTCTATTATTTTTAGCTACTTAATAGTCTGTCTCCCCTACTGAACTACATGCTCCTTCAGGGTATATTTCAAATCTTAATGGACACAGAGCTGACCTAGAACTCTCCATACGTGTCCGTTAATGGGAGCATGACTTACATCCCAGTATCAGAAACGGGAGCAATGAAGGCATTAGAGAGTGTTTAGTTAAAAAGTATAGTTCTTTACTGAGACTGCACCCAAACAGCCACTCAATATAATATTTGTAAAAGAATGGACACTTTTGGAACCCCCTTCTCTGAAGGTCATTTCATCCTTCTGGAATTTTCCTGCCTGAGCTAAAGAAGTCCAGCCACATCAACTTGCTGGAAAAGGAGTTTATCCACCACTCTGGCTGAGATTGCTTTTCAGTAACAAACCTATTACAAAGCACTACGCACTCTCTAGGACAGGAAATGTCACATGGCATGAGGTCACAACACACACTGTGGTCTGTTCAGAACTGGTGCCCTCTTCAAGAAATGTGGTGGGAATTTGTTTGTGAGCTTCCTTGGTTGGTTAGTGTCGTGATTCTTTACCAGACAATGGGACCTATATTACAAAGAAATAAGGATTAAAATAAATAAGTCACTGGGTTAAATAACTTCTCAAAGATCATTTCCAGATCTTCCCATTGTCAATTCTGGCTGACCTGCCTGTGGTCATCAGTTCCTGCACTTTTATAAATCTGAGCTCTAGAACTATAAGTGGTAGGTACTACAACACTATTAGGCAGATCTAGGCTGTCTACTGGTCTGACTCTGCTGTGTTTTGCTGTTATAATATTAATCCCCAGCTCATGAGTTTAAAAAACTTCGGAAAATTCGGGGAAGGGACAGGTAGGCAAAGCAAGGAGAGAAGAAGAGTTGAAAGAAATGTAAAAAAGTAAAAACCACAATACCCAATATCAATAGAGTTTGGGAGTTCACAAAAGAGTAAAGGAAAATACTCTTATCTAAACCAAAATAATTAATTGTGATTATGAGGATTCTCATTAGATTTTTATAAGTAAGATGACACTAAGGGCACCTGGGTGGCTCAGGTGGTTAAGCATCTGCTCTTGATTTTGGCTCGGGTCATTATATCCAGGTGGTATCCAGAGCCCGGCTTTGGGCTCTGCACTCAATGGGAAGTCTGCTTGGATTCTCTCTCTTCCTCTGTCCCCTCCCTGCTCTCTAAAATAAATACATCTTTTGAAAAATAAAGTAAGATGACACTGGGTAGAAATACCTCCAGTATCATCAAATGTGAAATGACACATGATTTTTCCTAATGGTAGTTTTAACTTTCAGAAAAATTCAATGTCAATCATGTAAAAATTAAGTTAGTTTTTCATTTTACTATCAAAATACAGTACTGATGGGTTCTGCTAGGTGTCAGAATTTAAAAAAAAATAGGCAAAGCACTTATGAATAAAGTGGTTGTAATCTGGTGGTAGGGGGAAAAGTCTATTTTCTTATAGTTAAAAATAGAGGGAAAGGAGAGAGAGCAGAGAACAGCTGAAGGTGTGCCTAGAAAGACAGGTGGGAGGGAATCGTGCTCTAACTTAGCTCTGACCCACGCTCAGGGCTTGGACTTCATCCTGGGCAGTGCTGGGGCAGACGGGTGACTGGACCAGGGCTGGAATGGGAAAGGCAAGCTGAGGGAGGGTCAGAAAAGAGGAGAGGTCCCAGGACCAGGAACTAAGCTGGGGAGGGTGGGGCCTGGGGAGGAGCTTCTGCCTTCCTCTCTCCTCCCTCTTGCTTTTCCCACTGCTCTGGCCTCTCCACTTCCTTTTCCTACACCTCAGGGCTCCCCCTGCATTTTCCTTTGCCCCTTCCATTTTCTTAGCCTGGCATTCCCACTGTCCATTCTCCTTCCCCCTCCTGACTGTGCTCTCCCCGCCTCTCCTCCTTCCATTTTGTGCAACCGCAGGTACACTTGTCCAGCGCAGAAAGCACTGTGAGGTCAGTGAGGTCAGAAAGACCCTTATTTGAAGGCTGGCTTCCCCGCTGTGATCTTAGCAGGCTGGCCTTAGCCTGTTGGCCTGGGGACCTCATACATAATAGCTGCTCACTCTCAACAAGTGTTAACTCCTGTCCGACCCTCCGGAGCATCGGAGCATCCTCTCGGGCATTTGTAGAATTCATCCTCACAATTGGTGAAGGAGTGCTCTTATCATCACCATTTACACAGCGGAAACAGACTTAGAAAGGTTCAGAACTGGCCCAACCACACGCAGGGATTTGGACTTGGGCCTCTGCCTCTTCCTCACCAGGCATTACCCACAGGAGGACTACAGGGAATCCACAACACTGTCTGGCCTTAGGGCACTCCACAAGCTCCCAGGAAGGGCTGGTTCCTTTCCTTTCCCTGGCAAATGCACATCTGATAGAAAACACATCTCTTTTTAAAAATAACACCTTAGGGGCGCCTGGGTGGCTCAGTGGATTGAAGCCCCTGCCTTCGGCTCAGGTCATAATCCCAGGGTTCTGGGATCGAGGCCCTTATCGGGCTCTCTGCTCAGCAGGAAGCCTGCTTCCCCCTCTCTCTCTGCCTGCCTCTCTGCCTACTTGTGATCTCTGCCTTTCAAATAAATAAATAAAATCTTTTAAAAAAATTAAATTAAATTAAAATAACATCTTATATAAATGGTCCAGCAAATAGGACCCATTTGTTTAAGGAGGTATCATATGATTTCCTGGGTGCATCTGCTTTAACCCTTCATTTGGCCAAGGCTATTCCTCTGGTGAGGGTACAGCTACAGGGAAGCCTTGCTGTCACTCGTGTTTTTCAATCAGGCACACATGTGCAAAGAACAATTTGCAACACACATCGTTATATGAGGAAATTTGAAACATTTTAAGAAACACCTTTTCTTAAACTGAAAAATGCTTTCTGTGATTAAAATTTAAGCTCTACATACAGGCATAAAGAACAAAGTGAAAATTACCCCTCAGAAATTGATGTTAATGTATTGATTTACATTTTTTTTTTTTAAAGATCTCTCCCCAGGATACATTTTCCTTTTTGAAAAAAATAAGGTCATACTCTATAGATGTGTGCCCTGCATTCCCTAATTGGCACTGTATCATGAACATCT